TACCGTCCTTTTCCCCAAGTGGGAGCATTTAGAAAACAACACAACACCGGGGACTTTGATCATCCCCGGCTGGGGCACCCTAGTTTGAGAGCGTCTGGTGATAATGGCCGAAACACTCGATGATTCTGGTCCATCATGAGGATGCTGTTCAAAACAACCAATATAAAAGGACTATTTTGTTCCCCAAAAAACCTTCATTTTTGAGAAACAAAAAACTACTGACTACCTGTCTACTATGATTCACTAAATCTTTTTCCAAGCCTAATATTCTGTTCTCTGCGGGGTTGATGGAGGACAAATCATGCAACTGGATCTTCAGATCAGGGAAAAAGGTGTACCTGCGGGTACTCCCACTCCATCTGTCGCCACTGAGGGATGGAGGCAGGAGACCACCGAATGGATGGCTGTCTGACATAAGAGGTATGCGAACCACTCCACACCACTAATTAGGGGATTGCAACTTGCAGATGAACATAATTTTCGGATCATATTTTAGAAAAATAATTCTTTATATTGTTTATTTTATCTCTCTTGTTTTAATCACATTAATTTTAGGGACACTAATAGGCTTATTACCTGACCTTAAAATAATCCCTAAACTTCACCAGTTGGGGTTAGGTGCTGAAATACAAATACTGTGTCCATACTTCTCACTCCTTTCAATAAGCATTAGCAGGCCTATTACCCTTACCTTTAATCTGACCCCTAAACTTAACCAATTGGGGTCTGATGCCTAAACATAAGTCCAGGTCCATGCTTCTCATCCTTTTAGTATGCATCAGGCTGGCCTATTGCCTTACCCTTTAATCTGACCCTAAACTTAACCAATTGGGGTCTGATGCCTAAACATAAGTCCATGTCCATGCTTCTCATCCTTTTAGTATGCATCAGCTGTCTATTGCCTTACCTTTTATCTGACCCCTAAAATTACCAGTCGGGCTCAGATGCCTAATCCTAAAATTTATATCCATTAATGAACCATCTTTCCCTCAGTTGACCACTAATCCTAACCCACATCTGGCTCTTTGCCTAAAATCTAAAACACATTATCTCCCCACTTTTTCATTCTGACCTTTCTTTCCAAACCCCTTTTTCGGATCGAACCCCCTTGGGGGGACGAATGGAAACGGGCCTTAAACAGATACAGCCAAAGCGGCAGGGGAGGTGTCCGCCGTAACCACAGCTAGCCTCCTTGTCTCTGTCTTTCAAACTTAAATTACTCTGTCTATCTTACACCCTTCATATTTATGACTCAGTCATGATGCTAAGCTAGGACATGAGCCGACACGTCATCTAGTGCGCGTGCCTTTCCTTGGATCTCTATACAAACCATGAAGTCGTCGGGCGACATGGGGGGATCCGGTGGCCCTTACAAAACCTAACCTAGCCGGAGCCTGGAGAAACGGGGGAACGTGCTCCGAACCTAAGTATGATTGGCCGAGTCGCTCGTTTCTTCTCCACCAACCAATTATATCCATGTAATAAGTTTTTCATTCAAACCTTAGTAAGATCATAAAATATTGGGTAATTATCAGTTCTCATTTAACTAATATATCTCTTTTTTTATATCCTCCTTAATCCTAGAGATAAACTTCTCCTGGCCTCTTCCTCATTCTATTATTATAATGTGATTTAAACTACTCACATTCAAAAACAGTCCACCTCTTTATCTCTACTTTTAACCCAAACCTTTCCCTCTCAGGCCCTCCGGGGTCCTGCCAGAGGGTAGCGGGTTTACAGAGAAAGCCTAGACCGGCTGGGGGAGTGAGACGTAGTCACTGACCACATCCTTGCCTCTGAATTTCTCTAACCAGTACCCCATTAGGGATACACCTCTTTCTCTCCCTCTCTCTCTATCCTCACCCTATTTCTAAAGAGAGCGATTAATTAGTCGGTCACTGGACCCTTAATATAACCTTTGGATTAAATCCTTTTAGAACCTCCTTACTTATACTTCTAAAATAACATGATCATTTAATAGATTTACACTTAAAACCTTAGTCGGACCAATTCTACTGAGTGAAGGCGTTTAAATATCCGCTTATATTCACTCTTAAAATATTAGAGTTTTGAGAACACAATAGAAATAATACCTGTATTTACTTTAATATATACCACTCTAACTTTACTCTTAAATAGATAAATACATTTCGGGTGTAATGAGTTAAAAAATAAAATATTTTCTTAAAATAGTCTATAAACAGATTTATAATGTTCTTTTTATTATAATACACTGCCTTTACGGGCATTTAGTATATTATAATTTTGCTTGCAATTCATGGAGTTACCACTATGAATGCTATTGGTCATGTTACCTTCAATTCCACCGTTTTTGACGTCACTTCCGGTTTGCGGCACAACCAATTCCTGGCGAGTGCTTCCCAGTGACAATAGCTGAAAGCACATGTGTGTGAAGACTCTACTAAAATCCTTTGACATCCACATTGAAATACTGGTCTTTCAACGTTGAGAGTGAGTATTTTTGATCATTGACATATCAGAGACCAGATATCATGATCCATTTGAAGAATAATCAGTTTTTAATATTTACATAAATAGATAATTTCACAAAATGGCGGCCGTTTTTTTCCAGTTGCATTTACTTCAGATTAATATTAATAAATTGATCATTTCAAGTCGGGAGGGTTTAGGATTAATTATTAATATCTTAGAGCATCTGTACCAAGAGTTATTTGAGGATAAACGGGTTTAAACACTTACATAAATGGATCACTCTTTTTGTAAACAAAGGGACAAAATGGCGGCCGGTTGCTAACTTTTCACATGCTAATCCATTTATAATCCTTTCAATTCTTCATCAAAACTTAATGAATTATTTCGGGAGTGACAACATTTGATTACGGACATATTTTAGTTACTATATTTAGACCGGTTTAAGACAAATCATGGTTTAAAAACGTAGTTAAATAGATCGTTTTTTTATTTTTTATTATATTTTTTATTAATTTTTTAATTAATTTTTATTGTTATATACACTCCCAATATAGCTAGGAATACTGCACTTGACAAAAATGCAGGAGAGTTCATTTTTTCTAACTCTCTCCTATTTTTTGTCTATGTGTTACTCATATTCTTTTAACTACTTCTCTCCTGTAATGAGATTACCATTCTATTGTTTATTAGATTTAGAGTTACACTCAGGCCGGTGTGTGTGTGTGTGTGTGTGTGTGTCCCTTTTTTTCTCTCTCTCTCTTGCGTGCTCCTCTCTCTCTCTCTCTCTCTCTCTCTCTCTCTCTCTCTCTCTCTCTCTCTCTGTGTGTGTGTATGTTAGCTATTTTATTAGATTCAAAGTTAAGTTCAGGCGGCGTTCTCAGATGGATACAGGGAGGTGGATTTATTTTCGTATTAGTACAGCGCCCCACTAGCTGTTCATAATTGATTTAATCCGGTTTCCTCCACATTATTGTACAGGTCCGTCGTTTTGTACTATTTGTTGTCTGTGCGTCTCTCTCTCTCTCTCTCTCTCTCTCTCTCTCTCTGTGTGTGTGTATTTTAGCTATTTTAATTAGTTAAAGTTAAATTCAGGCCTCTCAGGTGGATAAAGGGAGGTGAATTTATCTTCGATTGGACAGCGCCCCATAGCTGTTCATAATTGATTTAATCCGGTTTCCTCCATTATTGATAGGTCCTGTTTTGACTATTTGTGTCTGTGTGTCTCTCTCTGTGTGTGTGTATGTCTCTCTCTCTCTCTGTGTCTCTCTCTCTCTCTCTCTCTCTGTGTGTGTGTGTACCCACCTCAAAGCTCACTGACCTGACCTACCTACCTGTCCTTTTCCCCAAGTTGGGAGCATTTAGAAAACAACACAACACCGGGGACTTGATCATCCCCGGCTGGGGCCACCCTGGGGTGAGAGCGTCTGGTGATAATGGCCGAAACACTCGATGATCTCTGGGTCCATCACTGAGGATGTGTTCCAAACAACAATTATAAAGGACTATTTTGTTCCCCAAAAAACCTTCATTTTTGAGAACAAAAAACTACTGACTACCTGTCACTATGATTCACTAACTCTTTTTCCAAGCCTATTATACTGTCTCTGCTGGTTGATGGAGGACAAATCATGGCAACTGGATCTTCAGATCAGAAAAAAGGTGTACCTGCACTACCATCTGTCGCCACTAGATGGAGGCAGGAGACCACGAATGGATGGCTGTCTGACATAAGAGGTATGCGAACCACTCCACACCACTAATTAGGGGGATTGCAACCTGCAGATAAACACAATGTTCGGGTCAGTTTATTTCAAAAATAATACTCCTTTTGATACATTAAAGGATCTGACACCTGACCTTCATCTGACCTCTAAACCTAACCAGTCGGATTTAGATGCCTAATCCTAAATTCAGTTCCATATCCATTTTTCTATGGACCATCTTTCCCTCAGTTTGACCACTAATCCTAACCACTCTGGCCTTTTGCCTAATCCTAAAATACTTCACCATAAAAGGTTATTTTGGTCTAAATCAGGACACAAAAGCACATTATTTTTTTTGTACAATATAAAACAATGGCCCCATCCATTCATACACCAGATGGAAACCCATGCAGCAAATCCAGTCAATCTTTTATACAACACGGCTGGTTTGGAGATCAGTGTTTGCTTTTCTTCGCTTTTTTGTGGGACCGGTGAGGGGACCTAGATTTGGAGCGGGACTTCTTGGTGGATTTTTTGGGCGTCTTTGAGCGCGACCGTCTGGATCGTTTGGGTGTGCGAGGTGAGGGAGATCTAGAGGGACCAACAGGACGTAGAATTAGAGTTCGACCAAACACTACGTTAACACAACAAACCGTCTCTTAGTCTTACCTCTTTGTGGACTTCTTGATGCTGGATCGTGGCGAGTCTTTATGGGTGGACCGGGACGACGTGTCTTTAGAGTACGAGCGCTCGGAGCGTTCAGATCTTTCCGATCGTTCTGAACGGGGAGAAGCTGATCGACCTCGTCTGCTGTTCCGCGTCGGACTGGGCGAACCACTGTGGCGACGCTTCCTGTCAACCAGAGAGAAAATGTTAGGAAGGAAACCTTATGGGGAAATAACTTCACTTCTAAAAGGGGAAAATGAATCATCTTTTTCCTCAAAGTAATGATAGACCTACGAGTTGGATGTAGAAGAGTCAGAATCAATATAGATGTTTTTTATTTTAAAGTAAATTCAGATTGAACACAGTAAAAATAAGTACCCTGTATCGATTAATGCAAAACAAGTGACATTTGACCTTTTTATAGAGATTTAGAAATAAAACCACTTCTGGGGTCATTTGGGTGGATTTTCCATATCTCTGGCCCCCTCGGTCGATTTTGATGATTGACACCTCTTTTGAACCGTTAGAGCCAATAGAATCGAGGGGAAGTTCCTAAAATCCATCTAAACATTACCCATTGGTGAATGAGTGATGCCTAGCCAGAATGCCCAAAACAGGAAGCTGTCATACACTCTAGTAGCTATCGTAGCCAGAGGTTGCGTTAGACTTTTTTGTTGCCCGTCATTTTGACGGACAGGATCGTAACATTTCCGTCATAATCCATTAATACCCGTCGGGTCTGTAACAACGAGCTGACG